AGACCAGCATGGCCAACATGGTGAGACCCCATCTCTACTAAAAACACAAAAATCAGCTAGGTGCAGTGGCAGATGCCTATAATCCCAGCTACTCAGGAAGCTGAGGCAGGAGAATCACTTGAACTGGGAGGCAGAGGTCACAGTGAGCCAAGATTGTGCCACTGCACTCCAGCCTGGGCAACAGAGTAAGACACCATCTCAAAAAAAAAAAAAATTTAGCAAGGTACGGTGGGATGCATGTGTAGTCCCAGTTACTTGAGAGGCTGAGGTGGGAGGATCAATTGAGCCTGGGAGGTCAATGCTGCAGTAAGCTGTGATAGCACTACTGCACTTTAGCCTGAGCACTAGAGGAAGACCCTGTCTAAAAAATAAAAATAATTACCCACACATGGTGACACAGGCTTGTACTTACAGCTACTCTGGAGGCTGAAATGGGAGGATTGCTTGAGCCCAGGAGTTTGAGGCTGCAGTGAGCTATAATCATACCACTGCACTTCAGCTAGATAGACAGAATAAGGCCCTGTCTCAAAAAAATATTTATTTAGCAATTCTGCTAGGCAAGCATCACAGTAAGACTGCTTCTGGGCCCGGGCGTGGTGGCTCAAGCCTGTAATCCCAGCACTTTGGGAGGCCGAGGTGGGTGGATCACAAGGTCAAGAGATCGAGACCATCCTGGTCAACATGGTGAAACCCCGTCTCTACTAAATATACAAAAAATTAGCTGGGCATGGTGGAGTGTGCCTGTAATCCCAGCTACTCAGGAGGCTGAGGCAGGAGAATTGCCTGAACCCAGGAGGCAGAGGTTGCGGTGAGCCGAGATCGCACCATTGCACTCCAGCCTGGGTAACAAGAGTAAAACTCTGTCTCAAAAAAAAAAAAGACTGCTTCTGTGTTCAAAAATTCTGTTCTTCTTCTGATTTAGTAGGTTTGGATGAGGCCCTGAAATTAAGTTTACTAGGCAATTCCAAGGATGAATCAAGCTTTGGGACCTATTACCTTAGATATCAAAACTAATTTGTTTGGGTCTTAGGAAAAGAGCATTGGAGAGTAATGGGAAAGCCATAGCCTTTGAACGAATTCCTAACTCTACAAGTTATTAGCCACATGGCCTTGGAACGATTTCTTCATCTCTGGAGTCACGGTTTCTCATTGGTAATACAGAAAAATCTGAGCTCCCAAGGTTATAATGTGTAAAGCATATTATCTAGCTGTGCGTGAGCAGACTAGGATAATCCACTTAGATAAGAAAGAACTTTAGGCATAATTCCAGTATCTACGTTTGACAAAATGTAAGCTTTAATATACCAAAGGCAGTTAACACGTGCATAAACGTAAATATACGTATAGTGGAAGTACCTACTACTTTACAGATGAGAAGATGATCAAAGGTGAGATCATTATTCCATGCCATTTAAAACTTTCGATTTTAATTCCTTTCAAAGTAAATACGGGACACAACCTTTAAAAGATAAGATCAGACTATAGAGAATTAAACCTAGAAAATAAGTTTGACTACTAAGCTAACAGCTGATAGTTGAGTTTAGGGTTGGTAATCAATTCTAGTGTAGGACTTTTTTTTTTTTTTTTAAGACAAGGTCTCCTTCTGTCACCCAGAGTGCAGTGTGGTAGCACAATCTCGGCTCACCACAGCCTTAACCTCCCCACCTCAGCCCCTCAAGTAGCTTTTTGTATTTTCTGTAGAGACAGGGTTTCACCATGTTGCCCAGGCTGTCTCAAACTCCTGTACTCAGGAGATCTGCCCACCTCGGCCTCCCAAACTGCTAGTATTATGAGCACAAGCCACTGCACCCAACCAAATTCAAGTGTAGCATTATTGGATTTTAATCTTAACACTTCTCCCTAGCTGCTACAGCTACATCAAGCTATTTATCCTCTGCTGTGACTGTTTTATTTGTTAAAATCAACACATGGTGTGCTAGGCACCTAAGTGCCATACACCATTTGGTACTACCCATTACCCATACCACAATGGGTATCACCGGATTAACTGAAATAATGTGTATTAAGTGCTTAGAATTAACAAAGTAGCCAAGGCTATAAAGGATCAAGTTTTTTTTGTTTTGTTTTGTTTTGTTTTTGTTTTTTTTTTTGAGACGGAGTGTCGCTCTTGTTACCCAGGCTGGAGTGCAATGGCACGATCTCGGCTCACCGCAACCTCCGTCTCCTGGGTTCAAGCAATTCTCCTGCCTCAGCCTCCTGAGTAGCTGGGACTACAGGCACGCGCCACCATGCCCAGCTAATTTTTTGTATTTTTAGTAGAGACGGGGTTTCACCACGTTGACCAGGATGGTCTCGATCTCTTGACCTCGTGATCCACCCGCCTCGGCCTCCCAAAGTGCTGGGATTACAGGCTTGAGCCACCGCGCCCGGCAAGGATCAAGTTTTTTTTTTTTTTTTTTTTTTTTTTTTTGAGACGGAGTTTCGCTCTTGTTATCCAGGCTGGAGTGCAATGGCGCAATCTCGGCTCACCGCAACCTCCGCCTCCTGGGTTCAGGCAATTCTCCTGCCTCAGCCGCCTGAGTAGCTGGGATTACAGGCATGCTCCACCATGCCCAGCTAATTTTTTTGTATTTTTAGTAGAGACGGGGTTTCACCATGTTGACCATGATGGTCTCAATCTCTTGACCTCGTGATCCACCCGCCTCGGCCTCCCAAAGTGCTGGGATTACAGCCTTGAGCCATTGCGCCCAGCCTAAGGATCAAGTTTTAAACAGCAATGTCTGGAGGTGAACTGTGTCTGAATCCTGGCTTTGCCACTTACCACTGAGCCACCTTGGTTATTACTTAACCGCTCTATGCCTTAGCTTTCTCATCTGCAAGATGAGAACAGTAGCTATCTCATAAGGCCGTTGAAAGATTAAACAAAAAAAAAAAAGAAAAAAACCGAAAGATTAAACCAATTAACACATGAAAAGCACCTTCAACAGCAGCCAACACCTAGAAAATGCTCCTATTACCTACTCTATGACACAGTGCCCAGCCTGGAGAGAAGGCATTCAGCCAATGTTAGCTATTATATATGAGTATATATTGAATCTCATATATATATATATATGTATATATATATAATTTTTTTTCAAGACAGAGTCTCACTCTGTCACCCAATGCCACAGTTGGCTCACTGCAACCTCTGCCTCCTAGGTTCAAGCAATTCTCCTGCCTCAGCCTTCTGAGTAGTTAACACTACAGGTGCATGCCACGACTACACCAGGCTTTTTTTTTTTTTTTTTTTTTTTTTTTTTGTATGTTTAGTAGAGATGGGATTTCGTCTTCTTAGCCAAGCTGGTCTCAAACTCCTGACCTCAAGTGATCCACACACCTTGGCCTCCCAAAGTGCTGGCATTACAGGTGTGAGCCACCACACCTGGCAATTATTTGCCTTGGATTTTTTTTTTTTACCAAATTATGCAGTAGTGTTAAATTTTTAAAAATGAAATGGGCCAGGCATGGTGGCTCACACCTGTAATCCCAAAACTTTGGGAGGCCAAGGTGGATGGATCACGAGGTCAGGAGATCGAGACCATCCTGGCTAACACAATGAAACCCCGTCTCTACTAAAAAGACAAAAAATTAGCCAGGCGTGGTGGCACACACCTGTAGTCCCAACTACTCAGGAGGCTGAGACAGGGGAATCGCTTGAACCCAGGAGGTGGAAGTTGCAGTCAGCCGAGATTGCGCCATTGCACTCCAGCCTGGGTGACAGAGGGAGATTCTGTATCCAAAAAAAAAAAGTTCCCCTAGAATTAAATTTTCCTAAAATAAACAAACAAAATAAGGCATTAAAAAAAAAAAAAAAAAAAACTATGAGGATGCCAGAGCACCTCCACTGTTGCTAATTGGCCTTACATACTTGGCCACTGGATGCTGGGCAGCTTCAGGTGAAGATGTTCACTGAGGCTCAGGTAACCATGGAGAGCTTCTCAGCACCATTCTTTTCGATGCATACAAAAAGCTTAAAAGACGCAAGGTATCTGAGAAGTTAATTGGGGTCAAACTATGGTTTACAGCTGAGCCAAGGGAAAAATTTACCACAGCTGAGCTGGCTGACCCCTGGTGAGCTCATTGCTTTTGTCATTGCTCCCAGTTTCCAAGGACAATCACCCCTCAAGGACTATGTCTTGCCTTTTTCTTTTTCTTTTTGAGATGAGTCTTGCTCTGTTGCCCAGGCTGGAGTGCAATGACACGATCTCAGCTCACTGCAACCTCCACCTCCCAGGTTCAAGCAATTCTCCTGCCTCAGCCTCCCAAGTAGCTGGGACTACAGGCGTCTGCCATCATGTCTGGCAAATTTTTTTCTATCTTTAGTAGATGGGGTTTCACCACGTTGGCCAGGCTGGTCCCAAACTCCTGACCTCATGATCCACCCACCTTGGCCTCCCAAAGTGCTGGGATTACAGGTATGAGCTACTGCACCCAGCATTATGCCTTTTTCACGTTGTTACAGAAACTTGTGATAGGACATCATGTCTGATACTAGATGCCAATATCTAGTATCTAGTTAGAAACTACACTGATCAAGTGAGCATGTGGCTATTTTCCAACCCTGACTAGTGTCAAGTTGAAAAGCATAGATAATATAACCCACCGCCATTAAAAAAAAAAAGGCGAGTCCTAACTTTAACGTAGGGAAGCTAATTTTCCAAAATACTGACCAACTCAAAGTTCTAAAAAAAAAAAAGTTGGCCGGGCGCGGTGGCTCAAGCCTGTAATCCCAGCACTTTGGGAGGCCGAGGCGGGTGGATCACGAGGTCAAGAGATCGAGACCATCCTGATCAACATAGTGAAACCCCGTCTCTACTAAAAATACAAAAAATTAGCTGGGCATGGTGGCACATGCCTGTAATCTCAGCTACTCAGGAGGCCGAGGCAGGAGAATTGCCTGAACCCAGGAGGCGGAGGTTGTGGTGAGCCGAGATCGCGTCATTGCACTCCAGCCTGGACAAGGGCGAAACTCCATCTCAAAAAAAAAAAAAAAAAAAAACCTTTTGTAGTTCATGAGTATGATGATTGGGTGTTCACATGCTTGTGTGAAATGTGCCACCCTTGAACCTTGTTATGTCGGCACACTACCCATCTGACCTGAAAAAATAAATTAAAAAGATACAAAAATTAGCAGGGCATGGTGAGAACCCTAAAACCACCTTAAAATAACTAAATATTTTTTAAAAGGATAACTAAATATTAACCACTCATTTATATATTTTTATTTGAAAATGCTTTTATCCGTACAAGGAAATGACTTTGGAGACACTGGATGTCATCAGCTATCATGAGTTTATTGTAACTAATGCCTGTAGTCCCAGTCACTCAAGAAGTCTGAAGTGGGAGGATCACCTGAGCCAGGGAAGGTGGAGGCTACAGCGAGCCATGATGGTGCCACTGAACTCCAGCATGCCTGGGTGACAAAGTGAGACTCTCTCAAAAAAAGACAAGAAAAAAAAGGAAAGTATAATTCTTCCCTCAATTTACATGGTACTTGTGTACCTGGAATTGTTTACATTAAACCAGGCAAAAAAAACCTTTGTATTTACATAAATTGGAGTTAGGAATGAAGACAGGTTTCTGCAAAGTATAGAAGACCTTAAGACCTGTAACTCTGAAATCTGAATGTTGCAGTAGGACACGGTGGCTCACGCTTGTAATCCCAGCACTTTGGGAGGCTGAGGCAGGTAGATCACTAGAGGTCAGGAGTTTGAGACCGGCCAGGCCAACATGACAAAACCCTGTCTCTACTAAAAATACAAAAATTAGCTGGGCTGGTAATCCCAGCTACTTGGGAGGCTGAGGGAGAATTGCTTGAACCTGGGAGGCAGGGGTTGCAGTCAATCAAGATTGCGCCACTGCACTCCAGCCTGGGTGACAGAGTAAGACTCTGATTCAAAGAAATAAAGTAAATCCATGGCTTGTTATCAGCTATTAATAAGCCTAAATTATCAATCAGCTACTAATAAACCTAAATTCTGGGAGTGGTGGCAGGTGCCTGTAATCCCAGCTACTGGAGAAGCTGAGGCAGAATTGCTTGAACCTAGGAGGCAGAGGTTGCAATGAGCGGAGATCATGCCACTGCACTCCAGCCCCAACAATGGTGCGAGATCCCCCCCAACTCAAAAAATAATAAATTTAAATTCTGTGTGAAAATGTACCAACCTAGAAAATCTTGTTTCCCAAAATTCTCTGGTTATTTGAAAAACAGAAAAAAGCTTAAACTAGAGAACCCTAAAACCATCTTAAAATAAAGATTAACCACTTGTTTATATATTTTTATTTGGAAATGTTTATATCAGTACAAGGAAACAACTTTGGAAACACTAAATGTCATCAGTTATCATTAGTTTATTATAAAAGAGAGATATGGAAATTATTTACATGATGAAAGATTTCAGAACTTCAGTGGAATGGGCAGCTTCACATTGATGCCATTTCAATAGAGACTTATTTCAGTCTACGTACTTTCCAAGAATGTCACCATCTCTAAATAGGAAATAATCCTGCAAGTAAAGAAACCATTAGTTAAGACAATTAATTGCAAATATTTGGCTTCTTTTTAGAATTATTAAGTTTACACACCTTGTCATCTAGAACTACTTTGGTGCCTCCATATTCTGGGAGAAGAACTTTATCTCCAACTTTCACGCTAACTGGTTGAATCTCTCCACCCTTAAGAAAGGAAGGATGTTATTAGCAAAGACATCTAGTTCACCAAACATATACGGTTAACTTTCACATCACTACAACTAATGAAACACGCTCACTCAAATCCAATTATGTTAAAAATATACTAGGTGGCTAAGTGATATGATTCATACTAGAACTGTAGATCTTCACTCAAAAATACCACTGTAGTTACACTCTGAAATAATAAACGCAGTGGCTTAAACTAAAACCTGACTCCAATGTAAAGTTTCAAGAAAACATTCTGGAAAAGCTAACTTTAGTTAACTAAAACTAACTTTACAATTGGTTTTTTTTTTTGTTTTTTTTTTTGAGACGGAGTTTCGCTCTTGTTACCCAGGCTGGAGTGCAATGGCGCGATCTCGGCTCACCGCAACCTCCGCCTCCCGGGTTCAGGCAATTCTCCTGCCTCAGCCTCCTAAGTAGCTGGGATTACAGGCACGCGCCACCACGCCCAGCTAATTTTTTGTATTTCTAGTAGAGACGGGGTTTCACCATGTTGACCAGGATGGTCTCGATCTGTCGACCTCGTGATCCACCCGCCTCGGCCTCCCAAAGTGCTGGGATTACAGGCTTGAGCCACCGCGCCCGGCTACAATTGTTAAATATTAACATAACCAATCAACTATGTGAAATAAACCTGCAACAGTAGCCAGCACCCAGAAAATGCCATATACAAATGGTCATATTTTCCTTCTTTCAACATTTATTTTTCTGGATTTAGAACACAGGCTTCTCTTGTGATTGTTCCCTTTTTTCTGAAGTACAGATTTGGGGAAAGGTACTGCAGCTAAATGTCCACTCCCCAAAGTGTTCCTATTCCTAACTCTGTGACAGCTCCTGAGTAGAGCTTGCTTTCTTAGAAGCAACTGAAGAATGCAGTTAACATTATTTGGCTCCAACAGCATTTATTATGTATTTTGGCTGACACCTTTAGAAGCCTAAGGTCTAACCAGTTAACTGAGGAACATCTAAAACACGGATGTCCAATCTTTTGGCTTCCCTAGGCCACACTGGAAGAACTGTATTGGGCCACACATAAAATACACTAGCATTAACAGTAGCTGATGAACTTTAAATTGCAAAAGAAATCTCATGTTTTAACAAAGTTTACAGATTTGTGTTGGGTAGCATTCAAAGCTGTCCCGGGCAGCAGGACAAGACTGATCAACCTGTTCCTCAAACAGGTATACCAACTAAGGCCCCAAGTGGTTAAGATTACAGTGACTTCAATGTGTTAAGGGTTAAACGAACAGTCCAAGTTTCCTCTCAATTTTTAAATGCCTCATCACTTTACCTTGAAGCGTATCTCTTTTTTTAGAGGTGTTTTTTTTTTTTTTTTTTTTTTTTTGTAGAGAGGTCTATGTTGCCCAGGCTGGTTTTGAATGGGTGTAAACCACCACACGCAGCGTCTTTTGTCTTATCAAAAATTTAGAATGTAAGGACACTGATCATACTAAGCTACCAAATTACTATTGAGGACAATTTTTAATACTCCGAAACTATCACATAAAATAAGCATCATAGCACTGATCATATAAAATAGGCAACTTTATATTACCCATTTCTCACACCAAAAAAAAAAAGAGTTCCACGGCCGGGCACGGTGGCTTACGCCTGTAATCGCAGCACTTTGGAAGGCAGAGATGGATGGGTCACTAGATCAGGAGTTTGAGACCAGCTTGGCCAATATGGTGAAACCATCTCTACTAAAAATACAAAAATTAGCTGAGTGTGGTGGCACGCTCCAGTAGTTCCAGCTACTTGGGACGCTGAGGCAGAACAATTATTTGAAACCGAGAGGTGGAGGTTGCAGTGAGCCAAGATCGCGCCACTGCACCCCAGCCTGGGCGACACAGCGAGACTCTGTGACAAAAAAAAGTTCCACTGCATCCCACATTTACCTTTCCTTTAGAACCCGATCCAACAGCGACTACAGTTGCTTGCAATACTTTTCCTTGAGATTTTTCTGGAAGCATAATGCCTCCTTTGGTTACAGTTTCAGCAGCACTCCTTTCAACCAATACTCGGTCAAAGAGTGGGAGAAACTTTCTAAACGCCTGTCCTGCCTGTAGGAAGAGAAATGTTTTGAAACAAACACTAAATGTAATTACATTGTCAATAGGCAACGCCACCGTGTTATACATCTCAACACGTTGTGGCTTTGAAACTTAACACCAAACCTCATTACTCGTTAAGGAAACGCATTTGAATCTATTAACCAATATTCCAAGTTTAATTCCCGATTCCTTATGTCTGTTAGGGGTCGTTGTCGTTCACCCGGTGAGCAACCTGACCAACTATAAGGTCAACCTTAGTTTATTCCAAGGTCAAATGTTTTCCTTCTTCAGGTTTCTCCAGAAAAATTTCAGGAAACGCTGGGTCAATCTCCCTGTCTGGGACCATGCTTTTCACCCAAGATATTACACACCCACAAAGGTCCTGCAGAAGCAGGTGGGACGCTGCGCGTGCGTCCGGGTTCCCGCCCCCCCCACCGCCTCGCACACCCGCAGCACACGCGCGTGCAACGAGCCCTCAGCGGAGAAGAGGATCGGGCAGGCCGAGAAGCTCCAAGGTACTGGCTGGCGCCGGTCACTGAGTGGCCCCCAACCCCTCCCGCCGGGCCCAACAAAAGAGGACCGTCCGGCCTCCCCGTACGCTAAAGACAGGCCCGGGTCTGCCGGCCGTGAGGCCACGCGGGACTCACCATGACTCCCTCAGCCTCAGACTCGTACTCTGCTCTGGCGCACCGCGGCAAAGAGAGACCCGCGATACTGCCCTCCCGACACGTGAAAAGGCCGCCCAGCGCGCAGGCGCCCTCGCCCCGGCCCCCGCCGCTGGCCCGTCGCCCCTCCCCGCGAGAGAGGGCGGTCGCCCCGAAGCGCGCCGCGATTCGCCCTAAGGGCCCTGCGCAGGCCGCTGACGCGGGGAATGGGAGGCGGAAGGAAAGAGGAGCTGTTTCTAGGCTTTTCTAGGCGCCCAGCCGAGGTGAAAGAACTATCTCATCGTCCCCCTCCCGGAAATGACGCGACTTGACCCTTGACCCATAAGGAGCGCGGCACTTTCCGGAAAGTTCTGGAACCGAACGCGGCCCGGGAACTAGCCTAAGCTGGCGGGAGAGGGCTGAGCGCGCTGGCCCACACTGCGCGGGTAGGGCGGGGCGGGGCTCGTACGCCGGGCGTGCAGATTGCAGGGCCCGGGCAGACGGGAAGGGGGTGGGAGCCTCCTGCACACGCGGTGCCGCGGGGCGGAGGGAGAGGGGGAGGGAGGGGACACGGGCTCATTGCCGTGTGCGCCCAGCATTCTGTCCCACACTCGCCGTAGACGACCTGCTTTTCCGCGCGCACGCCCTGCCGCCGCCCCGCAGGTACGAGGCCGCCCCGCGCCGCCTCTCCACTGCGCCTGCGA